GACTATTGATAAACATTTCTCAGATGACTGTCTTAGAAAGCTTGAATGGCCACCATTCCTTTATATTATCTTATGCTACTGAAAGTTGAATGTGAAAGGAAGAATAGAAAAAGCTACCACCTGTGCTTTTAGTGAAGAAAATGAATGGTTGCATTAGATTAGGCTAGATGGATCCAGAATATGAGGAGAGGGCTATGTTTTGGGTGCAGATGCAATGACCTCTTGAAGAAAGATTAAGTAGGAGACTTTTCTTGACTCATCTCAGTATCTATTTTTGGGACCTGGAATGTAGAACTCAGCTTGTTAACAGAGTTGAAAAGTTAAAACTATGTAGTGTCTTGTGTTTGGGAGAAAGATCTGCAGACAAGTACAGAAGTTAGAAAGCATCCATCTGGCACAGTGATAGTGATGGCCGTAATTACCAAGTAATAGCCCCCCAAAATGAAATTGATTATATTTTAACTGACAAGAAATGTCACGATACTGAAGTGGAAGTCATTCCTGATTTATCTTTTTGTTCAGTCAGACCACTGACTTAGAGCAAAGATAAAAATACAAAGCTAAAGACAAAGAAAATATAAAGAATGGCTATACTAAGCACAATTTTTTTTTTGGCAGTTGGGATTAAGTGACTTGCCCAGGGTCACACAGCTAGTAACTGTCAAGTGTTTAGTCTGAGGCCAGATTTGAACTTGGGTCCTCCCGACGTCAGGGCCAGTGCTCTATCTACTGTGCCATCTAGCTGCCCCTGAACACAATTTCTTATAGAAAGTTAAGTGATATAAAACAGTTGTTGTAAAAAAGAGACCAAAAGAACCTAAAACACCTCAGCAAAAAGTTGTCTTATTTGCCAGATGGAAAAAGAGATGACCTCCAAGGACACCACCAATTTAGTTGGTCAGCTTGTTTGTAAAATCTTTAAAAAAAAAAAAAAGTGGAAGATTATGTTATCAGTGTCTCATAAAACAGTGAGAGGTTGAAGGAAAAACTATTTTAAGGAAAACTAGATGAGAGCCCAATTAATAAAAGGCATCCTAAGGACATTTGAGGATGAAATAGGACAACAAAGAGATAAAAGATGGAAAAAATCTGCAGGGATTCTTACAATATTGTAATCAAGGAGTGATGGTAGAAGCTGAATGAAGGATGCCATCAAAGAAATATGTGATTGAAAAATAAAGACCTGAGCTGTGTGACCCTGGGCAAATCACTTGACCCCAATTGCTTCGCCACCACCTTCCCCCTCTACTCCCCCACCCCCCAAAAAGGCAGCTAGATGGCACAGTGGATGGAGTCAGGAGGACCTGAGTTAAAATGTGGCCTCAGACACTTGAAACTTACTAGTTGTGTGACTCTAGTCAAGTCACTTAACCCTGATTGCCTGGGGCTCCCCCCCCCAAAGGAAAAAAGCCTAGTCATGTGGTAAAAGCAAGGACTAATTAATCTTGCCTTCTCATTCTCCAGTGGTATCCTCAGGATGTCCGTGTCAAAGACTTCCTTGTTGTGCCCTTTTTTGAAGACATTGATAAAGGTTGCGGAGAATTGTTAGGCATAGACATGGTGTGATCTGTGTTACTGGAGGATTACTCCTATTGATTTGAGCACTGATAAGTGTTGCCAGGATGTGGAAGGACATGGAGAGATTATACCATATGAGAATTAGATGAAGCAACTGGGAATGTTTAGCCTAAGTCCTGATGATTCTCTTCAGGCATCTGAAGGAATTGCATCGGAAGGAGGCATCAGACCTGCTCTTCTTGACCAGAGGATGATGAGTAGAAGTTTGAGTGAGGCAGATTAGACTGGACATGCTCATGACTACAGGAAGTTGGTCTTCATGTGTTGTTCCTAAAAAATTTATCACCTGTTGGCAAATGTGGTTGATGAGTCAAATATTTTTCTTTTCAAATGGATTTGTGTGATCTCATTAATTTGGATGCTGCGACCTTTGGCACAAATAACCACGCCTCCATCTGCCCAGTCATGCATTGTTCTATAACTTTCTTCCCCCTCCATCCAGCTCTACAAAGAAGTGAAAGACGGTGCCTTTGCATCTGTGTTCTTTGGGACCAAGGGTGGGCATTATAATTTCATAGTGTTCTGTTTGAGTTACTTCATTTTTGTCATTCTTTCCATTTTATACTATGGTCATTCTGAAGTTTTCCTTGTTCGGCTTCACTCTGTGAGAGTTCATATAGGTCTTTTACATTCTTCTTGTCATAGTCATAACTTCTTATACAACTGTAATATTCCATTACATTGATTTTACTATTACTTGTTTAGCTATTCCCCAATCAGTGATTTGTTTCCAGGTCTTGCTACTACAGAGTGCTGTTAAAAAATATTTTGGGGTATAACAGGTCTTTCTTTTTTGTCATTGACTTTTTTTGGGCCGTGTGCTTCTCAGTGGAATCTCTGGGTCAGAGGGTATGGACAGCTGAATCAATTTTTTTGCATAATTCTGAATTGTTAGAGCAACTCTCAGGAACACCAACAATACATCAGTGGGCTGCTTGTTCACAACACCCCCAGCATTGACTATTCTCATAGTTTGTTCTCTTTGCCAGTTTGCTTAGTGTAGTGTAAAACTCTAGAGTTATTTTAATTTGCGTATCTCTCATTATTAATGACTTGTATCTTTCACACGGCTGCTAATAGGGTGCACTTATTTTCAGAAGTGTTTATACATACCCTTTGATATGAGCTGTTGAAATGGCTTTTGGTCCTTTTATCTCTGTATAGACAACTATCAGAGAGACTTGACACAAACATCCTTCCGTCATCTGCATCCTTTGTTGTCCTCGTTGCATTTTGCTGATGCAAAAACTTTTCAGTTTCCTATAACTGAAATTCCATAATTGCCTGTATCCTTTGGTTAAGAATTCGCCCCCTAGGCAGGTGGTTTTGTAAGAATCGTGTTGGGAATCCTAAAACTCAGAGGGAGCCAAGCTTGGCAAAAGAAAATTAAGGGCAGTAAAAATAACTGTGTTAGGGGAAAAGGAGGGAGTAAAGATGGAGTTGGACCATTGCTTGGGAGCGAACAGGATGATGAGAGATGACTGGGACAAGCCAGAACTTCACAATTTGCATTTTGTTTCTGTTTTCCCTTCCAAAGAGAATAGTCTTTGGACCAGAAAGGATGGACCAGAAATGGTTAATAGGAAGTTGATAGACAAGCCACAATGTTATAATTATTCCAACTAAAAAAAAAAAAAGAATTCAGAGCTGTGAAGGCACCTTATCTGATTGTTTTCTAATTTTTTTATGGTATAACATTTAATATGCAGGCCTCTGATAATTCTTTTCAACTCTTTGAAGACTAGGTGATAGGGCTGAGCATGGAGAAGAGATCTAAGTCTATAATGATTTGAAAGCATCTGGGAAAATGTTAATAACTATTCACATACACACACGTATATAAGTTTATAAGATACTTTCCTAACAATAATCTGGAATACTGGGTTTAGATAGGAAAACGGAGACTCAGAGAAATCACTTGTCTGTGACCACATAGCAGTAAATGGAAAGAGCAGTAGGGAACTTGGTTGGAGAGAGAGAGAGATGCTTCAGTGGGTTTTAGACTGGTTGAGTTTGTCTTGCTGTCAGGGCAGCCAACTGGAAATAACTGTCAGGTATTAAAAATACCAAGGCAAAGCTTGACTGAGAGATTAGCACGTGAGGCATTTGCATAAAGTATGATGGCTAGGCGAGTAGAGGAACCCCAGAGTGTTAGTGATTGGGATTCAGAGAAAAGGTAGTCAGGATTTCATGTATTCATTAACTTGTTTAGAGGGGAGGGTATTAGAACATACTTTCTATCCACCAGCCAAGGACTGGAAACAAATGAGCTTGGACATAAAAATTCCTATGTAGACAAGTAAGAGTCTCATAAAGAAACTAATAATAATAACAAAGATAATAAACCGTGATTATTATTCATTTCTTTATGGCAGAGTGCTTTGCATGTAGTATCTCATTTGACTCTTACAACAACCCTGTGAGGTCAAGGCTGTTATTGTCCCCCTTATACAGATTTGGAAACAAAGGCCCAAGGAGATTGTGATTGGTCCTCGTGGTCGCACAGGGTGAGGATTTGAACTCAAGTCTTCCCAAGACCAGTGCTTTATTTGCTGTACCACACTGCCTGGGGAAGTGAAAATAAATAAGGCAGTCTCTGCTCTCAGTGAGCCTAAGTTTGGTTAGTTACCAAGTACCATGAAGTTAGCAGCAACCACTGAATCACCAAGAAGAAAAGGGTAACTTGGAAAGTGCTTTGTTCGGTTCTTTTCAGTCATGTCTGACTTTTTGTGACCCTGTTTGAGCTTTCTTGGCAGAGATACTGGAGTGGTTTGCCATTTCCTTCTCCCACTCATTTTGCAGGTGAGGAAACTGAGGCAAACAGGGTTAAGCGACTTGCCCAGGATCCCACCGCTAGAAAGTATCTGAGGCAGGATTTGAACTCAGGGAGACGAGTCTTCCTGGCTCCGGCCCGGCTGCTTAGAGCCTTTGTTAACCTGGGGAGTTTGGCTCCTTAGGCCTTCAGCTTGCAGGTTATTGTAGAGGTGTTGCGCTGTGCCACGAAAGAAAGGGAACCGTCCCTGCCCAACATGGCAAAGTGCTAAAGAAATACTGAGTACACATGCTTGGTCTTACTAAAAGGGATGCCACAGGGTTAGGGTATAATAACAACACTGATAATAAGCTAACATTCCTAGATGGCTTTAAGTTTTGTTCAGTGCTTTACACGTTAACTCATCTTATGGGGCATAGGTGCTATGATTATCCCCATTTTACGGATAAGGAAACTGAGGATAATAAGTGTGCAGGGCTGGATTTGAATTAAGCTCTTGCTGACTCCAGGAATGGGGAGCATTTAGATGAGAAGGGAGGAGCCCAAGCAGAAGCGCACAAGAGAAGAGGTATGTTAGCTTCTGGGAGCAGTGAGCAGAACAGTTTGGGGTCTTTGAGAAGTTAAGGTGTATTTTGTTTTTTCCTTTCAGGATCTGAGAAGGCTCTAGATTCCACCACGGGGGGTAACACTTTTAATGAACAAGATCCCATGCAGAGGAGTCCTTTGTCAGAACCTGTAGATGTGAAACCTTCTGATATGACTTTGCCATTGACTCTTCCCCTTGGAACTGAGGACCATCAGATGCTGTTACCTGTAACGGATAATCAGTCTCCATCATCGGACACATTGTTGAGATCAACTGTAAATGGGTATTCAGAACCACAATTTATTTTTCTGCAGCAATTATATTGACTTTATGAGCAATATGGAATTTACTAAATAAATAGCTCTGGTAGTGAACATAGACCTCATTGGCAAGGTGAACATTCTCATTCACTGTCATTTGGGTTGTAATCATTATTTTTCATTCAGCTAAGTAAAAGCAACTGATCCTGCATCTTCACTGTGCCATGCTTGTTTTTTTGTTTCTGTTTTTGTTTTGCTTGAAAAGTCAGAAGTATATGCACACCATTTTTGGAGAATGAGTTACATAGCAAAAAAAAAAAAAAAAGGAAAAAAAAAAACCATTTTCATTAGTAGTCTTGAAGACTACATTTTTGTTTTTTAGAAATACCCCTTAATTATTCTGATAGAATTTATCACTTCATGAAATAAAACAATACCCTCCAGGTTTTTGTTTTTTTTCTATTATTTAAAAAAATAAAATGATCAGCTCTAGATTTCATCTAGAATTAAGAGTTCATATTTCTGGTCAGAAAAATCTAGAAACCAAATTATAATTTATTTTTCTTCTCTACTGATATTCGTGCTAGTTTGGGACAAGCAGCCCTTTAATAAAAAAACAGAAGGAAAAAAAATCTATCAGGTGCTATAAAACTCTTAGGTTTTTTTTTTCCCCGTCCACCAGAACACTTCTTTTTCAGTATTCCATTTGAAAGTAACCTATCAATAGATATTTAATACCTTTATTATATCAAAAAGCAGTTTCACAATTTGACCCGCTTTGACATAATAAGCTAAGGAAAAATTATCAAATGCATTTTTAGCAAGAAAATATGCGGGGTGAAAGAAAGCTTAATTTTGTCTATTTTATACACTATTAATATGCACACCTTTAAAAATTAAAATTAAATCTTATGAGTGAAAAAAGTGAAAAAAAAATCAAAACCCAAAATTACAAGTTTAAAGCAGACTACAAATAACTGCTGAAATCTGGTATCAGAGATTACATCTGTAATAGTAAGATGTCAGATTTCAGTATTCGGACGAAAAATAGACTTTAAAAGCCCAGTTTTTTAGAACTACAAATGAATGTAAATCTTCACCAATAAAGCAGCTTTTCCTTTTCAGAATTATTTCTTACTCCTCTAAACCATGGCAATAGGTTGCTTTGGTAGCTTTTTCAAAGTCCTCATCAGCCTGGATAGGCAAAAGCAGATTATTTTCATATTTTCCACTAAATCGTTCTTATCCTGATTCTCTGTCATCAAAATGGCTTTTTGTGATTTCTTGTTTTTTTAAACTACTCTCTGGTACCATATGGTTAACAGGATTTGTTGATTAAATACACTTTGACTCCTCATTTCTCTAAGTAAGTCACAGTCTTTCCTTATATGCTTCTATAATAACTCTCATGCATTTTCTATTTATCTTGAGTTTATAATTATATCCTTACCTACTTGGTGCCCAGGTCACAGTAAAGCCTTGTATTTACTATATAGTATAGTGGAGTAGAATAGAGTAAATCTTGGCAACTGATGCACGAACATCATCACTGACCTCGCCATATTCTTCAGTTCAGTGACCTGGTGGACTGAGTATTGAGGTCAAAATATTACCTTGCTAATTTTTTTTTTTTTTTGGCACAAGTATCCTTATGGAACACAAAGGCAACATTTGAGTACAAAAGAAATTAATTAGCAAACCTGAAACATACATTTTTGTTGATCAGATGTATCGATTGCTCTACATTTCATCAGTATATTTCTGAACAAAATGTCAGGTGACTCGCCCATTCAGATTTAATCTCATCAGGATTTCAATGGAATATAAAGAAAATATAACAATCAGATCCCGTTCTTGTAAAATAACACCAAAGACAGCCTGAGATTTCTAGTGGATCATCATTAAATCAAGCATCACATTCTAGGCTGGCTTCTTAGAGTAATAATCATCCCTCGTTGAGGGTCATGGCGTAAGGTGGTAGATAGTTTTGTTCTGTGCTCTTCCCCCCAACCCCTGATCGCTGATCATTTTTTCAGTTCAGTTATGTTTGTGATCACGTCATTTGCTTCATCGTTTAATATTTTATTTTTATTAGTCATTCTGAATTTTAAAATTACTGCCTGAGCCCGTTCTTACCTGCTTTTCCAATACAGCAATATAAAGAGAATTTTATAAAATCCTGCATCTTCCTGGGAATGTTTTTTCAATAGCTGGATTCTTTTATGATACGCATATGTTTTTCTTGTAGCTGATGTTGTTTAGTGCTCATGTAAGACACCAGCCTTAAAAAGAAACTCTGGGTGGCACCCACATTGAGATGATTTTAAATTTCCTCTTTTATATCGTTTTATGGTTTCTTTTGGCAACTAGCAATTGGAAAATCCATTGTAAAAGATGTAGCTCTGAATTTGTGACATATGGCCCACTTTTTATAGCTTGTTGACCTACTTAGGTCATTTATTATTTTTTTCTAACCAAATCTACATCATTGTTTTCAGTCTGTGTACTAATCTAGTATGCCGTTTCATGGTAGACCTTGCCTATCTAAAAAGAAAACAACATTTTAACCTATGTGTCAGATCATATAATTAAAGGTTATGATAAGTTCATCTTTGTTAAACTAAATACATCTATGATGTGCTATTGTGGGAAGAGATTACTTGTTCTTTTTAAATGAATTCATTATTTACATTGAATTATTGAGCAAGTTAATTCTGAAGAGCACACGGAGAGGTGGAATGTACTTTCTATGTGAATTTGTTTTGTACTCGTAATATTAGATTATTTCTACTGTATTCTTAGATTTCCAACTAAAAAAGCTTAGATTTATATATGTCATTTTAGATGTTTGTAAATAGCATTTGTTTTATGTTCTTTATTTACAGATTATTTTTAATACTGATTTTAGAAAATTATTTTAACCTTTCCAGAGTCTGATATAGTTCTATTGCAGCAATAATTAAATAGTGTAACCTACAAATTTCTTTCTCTATACTCTGTTTACAGAATTCATGGAAATGACTACACTTGATATATTTTAACTGTATTACACTAAATTAATGTCATGTGTACTAACTTTTTAATCATTGTTCTACACATTTCTTGGCTTTTAAGCAGTAAGAGATGTTTTCATGTAAACTTTCCACCTACTTCTATGAGATTTTTTATAAGTGTCTGGATACTGGCTGGAAATACCTTGTAGCAGAAAAACACTATTTTTACATGATTTAAGTTAAAGCCTTTTAAAAATAATTTTCAAATATTACTGAAGTTTAGTCAGTGTAAGAGGTTCTTTTTCCTGCTTGAGTAATTCTTCATACCTCCTTTTTTTATTTTGGAGAGTTGTTAATTGAAAGAGTTTAGAACATACCAGAAAAATTATGGTATGGACAAACTACTCTTCTAAAAACAGGGCAATAGTGAAAATTTTTGTTAATTTAAAAAACAAATTTGCTAAAATGGACACCATGTCACCAGTTTTTCTAATAATTATCTGCTTTTGAATATGATAAATGTAGAATTCATATAGCATTGCCTATAGTCATTCATTTGAATATAATACTCGCTGAGCTTCTGGAATGATGTATTTGTTAATTCCTACCTAACAGCCTTGAACTCAATGTAGGGTGCAACATTTGGTTTCCAATGGATTGTCGGAGTTGGAACGTAAGAAAGTCATAAGAGTGACTTTCACATGGTCTTCCATACTGCCACATAGCAGTTTTTTATTTATCCACACAGCTTAAAATGAAGTGATCAGCTTAAGGAAAGAAGTGGACAGATGGGTGACTCTCTCTAATCCCTGAACCAATCAGATCACTGAGGGAGTAAGTAATCCCACCTCTCTTTAGAACTTCAAATACAGATTGCTTTAAAAATAAATAAAACCTGAAAGATGAATATTCACTGAGTTTCAAGGGAAAAGTCCCTGCGATTGGGCTGGGCCAGTGAGCAGTGCACATGCAGGGCTTTGAGAAAAGACCAAACTGGCCAAATCAACCTTGTCTTAAGAGCAGTGAGTACGTGGAAAGAATGGGGGGAAGAGCGACCCCAGACAGATGAGAGGCCGAGATGATTGATTTGGTTAAGTTAATCCATCCTGTGGGGAACTGAGTCTACTTCCTTCCTTACCTCCCATATAGAGGCTGTGACTTCTTGTGCTAAAACAAAACAGCTTCTTAAGATTGAAAAGTTGAAACTAAAGCCATAATCAGTCTCCTTTCTAAGTGTTATTTAGAAACAAAATTCAGCGTGGAAAATGTTGTGTAGACACAATCCATTGTCTAATTCTTTGCTATAACTATATTTTGTTGTATAAATTAATGGAAATTATGTAGTTCAGTCCCCGTTGATCTAAAACGAAGGAGGGAAAACCTGTTGTAGAATTAGAGTAATAAGAAATAAGTCAGGGGATTGATGGAGATCATAAATACTTTATTTCAAAAACACAAACGAAATATTACCCACTTTATATAAACTGTGGATCCCACCTCAATCACTTAATAGCTTTGGTACTAAGAACAAATCACCGAATTAGAGTCTCTGAGTTCAGTTTCCTCATCTGTGGGTGGCGAGGGTACTAGATACATTGCAAGGGCTGTTATGAGGAAAATCTAGAAGTCCATACAGTGTAATGGAAAGAATTTTGGGTTGAGAGCCACTTAAGATCTGGGTGGTCTTGGAAAATTCACTTAACTGCTCTAGACCTCAGTTTCCTTGTCTGTAAATCAAGGGGTTGGACTAGATGACCTATTAGTTCCCTTCTGGCACAAAATCTATGATCTTTTGTGTGTCAAGGTACTTGGCAAACCTTAAACCTTATGCTTTATGATAATATGAATTCTCGTTATGATTAGTACATAGTAATGCAGATATTTGCATGTATTATATATAATTGATATTTATATCAAACTTTAAAGTTTATAAAGCAATTTGTATATATTGTTTGGATCACAATAATCCTTGAAATTGGTACTGCAGATATTATCCCTATTTTTTGCATATGAGGAAACTGAGGCTAAGGAGTTAAGTGATTTCCCCATCGTTAGTAAGTGTTAAAGGAGGGATTGAACTCTTTAAGTTCAGTTCTATGTACCAAGCCATAAATAGGCAAATAACATTTGTGAAAAATGATAGCTGACTTTTTCTGCAAAGGAATAATACAGTTTATGTTACTAATGTTTATTGATTGTTTAATTCTTATTGGTAAGC